TGTTTGAGAAAGAACTGTAGGATGCTTTCTTATAGATTCGCACTATCCGGGAAAAGGTAAAAACATAAAGGAAAACCATTATTTTAGCAATTAATTGATTAGCTTCGATCGTGCATTGATTTCAAAGGTTCCGGAACCTTCCGTTCCTTCACGTGATCACCAGCATACGGAGCTTTGGCAGGGAGGGTACTAATTTTACCACTTGACCTTCGTTTTATAGAAGCCGACGGTCACTGAGCCCCCATATATTTGGCGGAGGTCTGGCGTAGTTGTATAGCGTTTTGGCGGCATTTTTGGCTACGTTGGCAGAGTTTTATTAACACGTTTTTCGTGGTCAAGGTCGTTGGAATTTTGATTTTTCTTTGGCTGGGCTAGAACTTTTGTGGAGAAATTTTTGTGTGTTTAATTCGGAATAGCGAGTAAAAGTGAAGATCTAACATGCACACCCAGTCTTCGATCAGTGTGCGCGCCGTAACTGTCTCCACAGCTACAAGTGCATTTGTATAAACAGTGGGACGTGCACTAGTTTGACGTTGGTGTCTTCAATGAGCACCTAATGTGTGGTCTCGTCTACAAGGCCAGTCGTAGTTCCGCTGCATTGCAGGTAAGGTTCAGTGAGGTGTTTGTCCGTTTGGCACTGACTTTCATAATATGGCTACTTATGAGCGGCAGCTCAAAATGTTTAGAGCAGTTAGTTCCCACAACAATTCCAAAAGCACAATGAGAAAGCGAGACTCGGCAGTTGCAATCACTTCGTGTCGCCTCTTCAGTGCCGAAAACCTAACTAAAAATAAAATAAAACTCATGAGGAAAACGTGCAAACAAAAGGAAAAAACGGAACGCACATCGCTACGTCCAAGGCAACCTGGGTCTGCTCTTGAACACAAATCTCCGGTTTGAACCGGGTTATCGTAACAGCCTCAGCGAATCGGAGGAGGCGGGAATTGGTACGTCGTAATAGAACATTGAAAGACGTGCTGACCTCGATCCGGTGACCTGCGATCAATAAAGGCCTGCCGAGCGAAGGTGCTGGTGGTCTGTGTGAATGCGTAGCCTGAGCTGAGCATGCTTGCTGAGTCGTTTAGTGTTGGATCCACTTTGGAACTTGCTCCTTCATCCGGGCACTCATAGTGCTATAGGTTCTGCGTAGGTAACTAGCTCCGAAGTTACATACGAATTAGTACACACAATGGGAGTTGGCCCCGATAGCCTGAGTTCACTTCAGTGGAGGCAGTGGTAATTTGTGGGGTCGGTATATAATGTTGTCTTTGGCAGCGCATAAGGTGCACTGCGTGACAGCGATTAGTCGCTTGGTAGTTCTCAGTGCGTCAATTTCACCGTTAAAGGGGAGCTCCACTAGTGCTTTTTTCACTCACAGTGGACACTGGTTGTCTTGATCGGCTGGTTTGACTATGCTTCTCGATGAACCTACAAGGGTAGCTTTTTGCAGTTAGTGTTCTAGTAATCAGTTCTAGTTAGTCGACCAGAAATCGGTCAAACATATTCGTCTGGCATGACTAAATAAAGTCATCACCAGCGTCCGCTTGTATCGCATTGATGTGAGGCTGGTAAAATGCAGGTACTGGCCGGATCACGTGGTTCAAAATATACCGAATTCTTGAACTGTGATCGCTCTATCTTGTTTTACAGCTTGCATCTTCCAGTATGCTTGTTTGCATTGCCAATAATTGAACCGAATGATACGGGTAACGTAGAAATGTGGCTACAAAGTGATCCAGATTGGCTTGAAATTCGCTGCAGACAAAATACTGTGGCCAAATGCATCAAACCCGAAGTAGGAGCAGACTAAATGGCCTTAATAGAACCAACATTCACGGCCTGACTTCTCCTGTCTTGTCAAATCTGTAAGTCATTTGACTTACTAAACTTCAACTGGAGATAGCCACAACACTAATTAATTCACAAAAGCTAAAGCTGCGGCAAAAAACATCATTTTTAATTACATTTTATGCAAAATTTATCTGACTCTAAGAATTAGACAAGAAATGACCGATGAAGACATGCTAATGATAGCGCTTTATATTTTGGCCCTGTCGCAATTAGGGCACATATCTTTCGCTTATTATTACGCTTAGGAGGTTTATTGCTTTCAAATGTACTAGTAGCTGATATTTTTGATCGGAGTTTAAGCCTCCATGTCCCTCTTATCGAGAAATGCAACAGTTATGTAAAGTGGGATTTGAAGTCCCTGCAGTATGATTGGATTGCGACAGGCAATCTCTATTTTACCCTCGGTTTAATTTCAGATGGACTTTGGTCATTCCGAACATGAGGACCTATCTTAAGTGGAGGAATTTCGATGTTGCTTCACCCAACATTGAGACTTACGACAGGTTTCATCATCGTTTGGATTCATCAAATAGAGATAGACTGATCTGTCTATGCCTCTACAAGACCCGTTTAGACAAGGTTTAAATGATATTGAACTTAGTAAACACGGCATAGAGATTTCAATAAAGGAATGCACAGCACAAATGATTTGCAACGTGATCCTGGAGACGAGGTGGCTACCCATGGCGACAAACAAATGAAGATATTGAAAACTTAACCGCAGAGCGATTCCGAAGGTCTCGTTGTTTCCACTACCCTCTCATCAAGTAGCATCTAATCGTAAAACCACGGAATCGCTCACGATAGCAGTGTAACCCAGTTACCAAGTATTCAACATCGTATGGGTGTTGGATAACGACCGGTGTGGGAATGTGTAGCTAACTAGCCAAAATGTCATCGTCATAGGGAAGAATGACAATGCCAAAATCGGAACACTCAGGCTTAATGTGGTTTGTTTGTCAGCCAATTGATGTTTGATTATAGTAGCAAGCAAATTGCCATTGAATTTCAGTGCTTCTTGTGTATAGTAGATATGCGGATCTGCTTCTCACTATTTAAGATCTTAAAAGAGGACATTCTGTGGCAATCAAAAATGCTCGTTATCAGGCTCAGCACAATCGTAGAGTTAGAAGTCGGGCGGTAGCCAAATGTTACAACGCAGATGAGTCAGCATCTGTCATGATCGGTTCTGCAGTGTTTTTGGACGAGAACGCAACCTATCACAGCTAGATCAGATCAAACAACCACTGCCTGGCCATACGATCTCTCTGGCAATCCTCAGGACTGCATATACTCCGGATGCAATGAGACGTTCGAAACGCCAGCAGCCCTCTTGCACTCTTAGATGGAGTATTATGGTCCAAAGAGGATTCAGGCAGACGTCCTGCTTAATAAAACTAATGTAATGTTAATGCATTCATGCCATCCACTACCTCGTACATCCAATCTTCTGTATACCATCACAAACTGGATTTAGCTTGCTGTCAGCTTGTTCCACAGTAATCCCTATAGTAACCATGACAACCTGTCACGTGAAACACACTTACAAGGATCCGGACTCACAACCCAAATATTCAAGCTTGCGGAAATGCACCGGTAATGACACGATGCATCATTAGGGATAATGGAGCCGTAGCCAGTCGATTAAATCAAAAGACTTCTCACAAAATCATCTACCTGGATGCACATGTGATTGTTGGACAACTGCTTGCCACATCATCGCTTCACCGTATATATATATATATATATATATATATATATATATATATATATATATATATATATATGGTTGGCGGCATCCGGTTTCCGATTTGCCTGTCACTGTGGCCAGCCACAGGACGCCTGCGCCTACAGAGGGACCATGGGTGGTTGACGCTCCACCACCCACCACCCACAACTCCATCCACATACCCCATATCCAGTGTAAACCCGAAGGAATAAGACCGGGAGGCATCTGGATGGGAGCCAAGTTTCATCAACGTAGCCGGCCCACACTCCTTCACAGGCAAACGCAAATACGCTGTATTTGGGAAACCAAGTACACACAAGGCGGTGGCTGAACCGTAGTCCGCTCCACACTGAGTGCATGGAACCACTCTTCGAGCCTAGCACGGCCACAAGGACCGTGCACCTCGTCCCCTCCAGCAACGATCAACTGTCTCCTGGAGACTGTATGGACGAGGCAGTAGGTAATAGACAGGTAGGCACGTTGTCAACATGCACATCAAGCGCAGCCAAACCGGGGATATCAAGCAACAGCCAATCACCTGGAACGACAAGATGAAATAAAACAAATCCAATAACGCATACAGATACGGTGGCATGACTCTTCGCTAAATTAGCATATGAAGTAAGCTGGTTAGCAACGTATCTGCGATAAGGAAAAAATGTCCACAAGTTGGTAAAAATGCTACGAAACGTAACAAAGTTACCGAAGATAAGCGCAATTAATGTAAACAACGTGGCCAGTTGATAGAAGAGTATTCAGGTAGGCAGAACAAACCAAATAAAGTGGAATGAAATTTAGCCAGCTTAAAAAGACCTGGTGTAAATGTAAGTTGGTTTAGCCCAACTGCGGTGAAGAAGCCTCAAGAATGCAACATCAGCCTCAGCACGGGAGATATATATATATATATATATATATATATATATATTATTGCTAGGGTATCCAAAATGTGGACTGATATTATCCTACGAAACCCTGTCGGACGAATGCGTCTCATCAGGCAACTGGTACGGATAACGATGCCAAACACAGGAGGGAGCTGCATGATGTAACAGGTTCAACCAACATGAAACGGACCCCAATCTAGGCGATAACTGTTATCCAGCGCAAGTGAATATACGGTCCGTTGCACTGTACGACATTACTGTACATAAGATGTTATTCTGACAAGGCCGATCGCGCGCTAACTGATGTTACCTTGGCATCGCCCAATGTGGACGAAATTCTGGCAGTCCCCTTCTACATATTTGGGACGAAACTGACTAGCCTGTTTTCTATAAACAAGCTACCTAAGCATTCATATGTTCTCAGCCTAGCATGAGTACACTATAATGGAAATATAAGTACATCCACAGATTTACTAACGTGCTTAAGTTTATTTTCATGATACTATGTAAATGAGCATAGTCTGTGTATAACTTACCAAGTAGGTGTTGACCTTTTGATGTTGACTAGATCTCAGGCGTTCGAAACTGTACGAGTCCAATTCCGCAGGCTGACTGTGGTCACGAAACGCCCCGTGCTGTGTTGGAACAACAGTTCGAACTTTTTCCCTCGAAGATGATTCAAGGCACGAGTTTGCGGGATGAGGAAGAGAAAGACGAGGCGCTTTGTCCACACTAGTTCTGTTCGGTGAGATGGATGCTCCAATTGTGTATGCTGGAAGGCCATCGTTTGTTTGTATGTATGTATAACAATTAATGTTGTTACTTGTAGGCAATGATGTGGGAGTCATAGCATTGTCGACCATGGGAGTAGCAGTGACGAAGCGCGAAGTGAAACTGAAGTCCTGCTCGGACTTTGCACGAAAGAAAATCGGTTTGATTAGTTGCTGTCCTGATAGTTGTGTACGGTTTTCTTCAAGTAATATTATTAAACGACTGGATGGCTCAAGTAGTGGTGATAAAGCAGACATACAACTTGCATTTGTTGTGTTTAAAACCGGTTCCGTTTGTTTTGAACCCGATGTACCAAATGTGTAACGAGATGCTTCGTTCATTGAACCTCTTGGATTCACACGTGTAGAGAATTGGTGGCGACCTTGTCTTTGAACGGCATGGTCCAATCGTGAACTTGTGTGATTGCAACACCTGCGTGGGCTGACATGTTCGCACTCACTTTGGGGCGGTAACAGCAAAACGGTTGCTTGTGAAACACTATCGACTGGCAATGGAACCACAAAACACCAGCTATAAGTAATCGATCTGCAACCAACTCCCTGTTTGACGGGAAATTGATGATATTGACCAGACACCCAGCCAATTGTGCGGACGTCCGGTCCAACTTGAATGGGGTCAGCACGGACCGTGTGTTGTGCCATCTTATTGGTGTGATAGGTGGAATGTGAGCAGTACAAAGTAGCAGGACATAGAGTATCTGTCCACAAAATTTTCCAATGACCAGCTGAGTCTGCGTACAATGTCTCGATAAAGAGGCGTTCGGATGAGGACTTCAGCTCTAAGGGAATTCCAGCAATGACAACACGTTGATTGTGTCTTAATATTTGCAACTTCCCGATGATCCTTTGTCCCTCGCATGGTTGCTCCTCATCTCTTTTGATAGCATATGATTGCACTCGTAGCCAATAATCAGTTACGAATGTTGAACCAACCAAATGCATTTCACTTGTCCATGACGAGCCGGGCATTCCTGACACTATAGCCTCCAGAGCCGGACGTAAATCCATGTCCGTAAATCAATGGATTTGATGTGCAACGTACGAGTTAAGTTGCAATAGATTCAGCTTAATCTCCATTCACGTATAGCACACACTGCAGTCTGTCGCAGAAGATGCTCGCGCGTGGTTAGGGCATGTGTACACGCTGTAGCCATGCGGCGACGCACGCCGAGGATTCAGTTGTCACGTGCGCATCCAAGTAGACATGGTTGGGTGTTGGCGTGTCTAGAACCGTCCAATCAGACATAGGCCAATCCGGAGTTGTGGACGCTTGACTCGACTCGGCTGTATAACTACCTTTCACTGAAGTCTCCACGGACAAACTGATTGGCCGGTAATCGCTTCCCAGACGTCAATACAACCAATGCACTTTATGTGCGGTGTCTAGGAGGACTAATAGAACACTGATTAACCTCAACATATACTGAGGAATTTCCCTTCAAACTCACTGATTCCTAGGGTATGGACCAGTAAAATTAACCATAGCTACACACAACACTCAGTGAATTAATCAATGCCTAGTTATCCGACAATTTTCCGGTAGCATGTGTAACCGCTTTGCGTCCCTATACCTAAGATGCCTGAGAATCGAACATACTACTTGCTACTTACGTTGCTTACGACCTCATCTACTGTAGCATGATTAAACTGGCCAGACAGTTATGTCCCGCATGCGATTGCGGAGCGCTTCTTCTCGGAAGGTGTTAAGTATGCAATTTGAAGAAGGAACGTTGTTTACTGCCTCGATGAACCTAACTATAAACGCTGAAACAATTGGCCCCAGTTATCAGAGGAGAATATCACCAATGCACCTTTTTTCCTATTACGATTGTAGAAGTTGACAACAAAAGAAAGACCTGCATGAGTGTTGCCTATGCGCTTCACAAGCCTGGACTACATCACATTGAAGTTTTTTCTTAAATGTGCTCGCGAAGACAACCTTGTGCTGGCATATTCTTGATAGATATCTGATTAGATGTCCATCTGGATGCCTGGCTGTCAAAGTTGATTTTGTTACAGTAAAATCACCAAAACAAACATAAGCTTGTAACAAGAGTAGCAAACCGAGTTGTAACTTGCCACCGGTGACACGTCTGACACACTGTGACGGACTGGACGAGTAAAGAGCACAGCGAGCGCTAGGAGTGGACATCCAAAAAATGATCGCCCACAGCTCGGAAGTAGGCAGATTGATTAGTACACTGCACAACAAAATTTTATCCGTTTTCTGTTGCAAGAGGTTTTACAACTGTTTCTAACTGAAATTTTAAAGCTGATTTCAGATGTGAACTCCGTTTTTGTTCTGCACGTTGCTATTTTTCCTAAATGGATAAATCTCTATCAATGTAATTTCCTTACAGTTAGGACCACGGCCCATTCCGGTAAACCTTAATGTGTAAATGAACCTGATGCATTTAGCTATCTATGCAGCTGTTATACACCAGCTGGTCAGTGAAACGTACCTATAAGGCATACTTTACGTACACCTGAATGATCAAGACAAAATATAGGCACTTCACATTGTGTGCCATTCTTGTGAGATACTGCTTCGCGTTGGATAAAAGGCAAAAGCAGAGGCCAGTCATTGGGAGTAGCTTCGCCTGATAGGTGGAAGAGCCCGAACAATGGAATAATGATTTGACACGGGTAAAAAACTGGATCTTTTCCAGTTAATCCCCGCCAAAACGTTATGCCCCTCCACCCAAAAAAGATTATGAAAAGGGAGTATATGGAGCTTGAACTGTTACTCTCTATTGAAGAGGGTGAAATTGAGACAAGTCATTAATAATTTGCATGAAAAGGTCCATTTTTCGGTGTCTTTGCCTCTAAACGAACTCACATAGGTAGCTGTCCATTAAAGATCGGTGTGTGCCGCATTGGCGCTTATTCTGCATCTTGTAAATGTGCCAGAGAGATTCGATGGTTTGTGTGTGAGCTCCAGTCGTTGGATCCACAAAGTTTTCGGTATGATTAACCGTTTGATGAGTATAACTCATGTCAATCATCGATTCAATGCCTTGGTATGATGCCCACATATCGGAAATGATAACTGAGCAGGGAGCGATGCAGGCCTGGATTGTGTCCAGCAGAGTGGCCGCAGTTCGATCTGGCACTGCGTACAAGAACACTTCTTTAGTGTCCCGACAAATCCCTCCGAAAACGTACTGCTGGGGAAGGACTCGCCCTGCATGGTTTTTACGATGTAATATTGGGGTTTCGTCGATCTAGACATGTAGACCTGGGCCGCCGACAATCGTTGGAGTCTGCAAAAGTTGCCAGGCGCAAATTTCAAGCAGAAAGTTCTTCCAGTCGACAGCGGTCGCGTGGCCAATAGATAACTCCTCTGAGCAGAATTTGATTGTTGTCAGATTTTGGACCAACAATAAATGAATAGGATTATTGTCCTGAAATCCATCCTAGACCGCTCCAGCCAAGTTCCCTTTTGAAGACCGATATCTTGCCGACACTGTCGGGCATCACACCTCCACCTGTCAGAAACAGTTGAAAGTGTCATTTGGTGTCCTCGTCTGCATAAACGTTGATGATGAATCACTCCATGGCTTTGCAAAAAACGTATTGCTGTTTCCTAGTCATGAACGACCGCCGAAAGCGTCAGAAAGTTCATGTCAGGTTTTACGTGCGAACGTAGAAACTTTTTGGACAAAAATGACCTTAGAAGCGGATAAGGAGTGTTTTTATGGGGCACGTTCACATGCATTACGTACAGTGGAGCTAGCAAACAGTGGCGGGGCTCAACTTTTCACGCGTGCCCTTTTTGCACTATTGGTGGGGCTTGACTTTTCAGGTGTACTCTTTTTGCATTAGTGACAGGGCTTAACTGGAAAAGATCCAAAAAACTTATTGCTTAACAGGTCCCGTCGGATGGTTATGGTGAAACTACAAAATATAAAACTTGTTAGTAAAAGTGGGCTTACGTCAGGGAACTCACGAAAGTACACGTAGTATAGACTTTAAGTCCAAAGTAATTCAATAAGAAATGACGGCAAATGGGATGTTGAAAAAGTCGTGTCTCCTTCTGGTTTACACATAGAGGTGAAAAACGTGGAACGAAATCTGTGATTTGACCGCCACCGAAAGCGCTTAAAGATACATGTTTACCTATGGGTACTGGGTCAGGTAAGATAGTGAATGTAAGATGGTGCCGGGTTCGATTCCCGGCCGGGGAGCCAGACAGTACTCAATCCCCAATATGCAATCCAATGTTGCGGAATTCGTTGAACCTTTCGCAATGTCAATTTCCCTGGTGACAGCCCCTGTTTATGGGATGGAATAAACGGGACAAGTAACTTTTGATACCGTTTCTCACTCTGGCTTCCATATTAGCACTAAGACAGCTAGTAATATGGCGTGTTTGTGGCTCTTAGTAGCGGAATCAAAATAGAAGCAGATTAAAGCCGAGTTGGAACAGGAAGTTAAAACTTAGACAACGCTGCGAATTGCTCCGAACAAATGAAGCAGTGGTGATAGCCTGGCTTGTTTTCGTTTTAGAAGAAGAGCGGGATGAAAGCTTATTGCGTCGCGACTTATCGATTGCCAATATGCCATAGATTAATAGCTACATTGCTGATTGCGCAGCTCTTGCCAAGATGAACTCAGTGACACGGGCAGATGTTGAGATGAGTTACCAGGTAGCTGCCGTGACTGCCGCAGTTACATCTGACGTGCGACCGCCCATTCTTGAACGAGAGCCCACCAGCGCCCAGCTGAAACAGTATGGAGGCCGTTCAGTATATTAATGGGAATTGGAGATTGGAGAAGCCTCTTCGCCCAGCAAGATACTGTTGTTGTGTTACACCGAGTTTCCAGAAATGGAGCCTTTTAGGCAGTCAACTGCGGTTGAGGACCCAGTAGTACTAAATATGGGTGAGGAAGAGTCAAATTTGGACGACTAGCACAACCTCGTCCTACCACCTCATTGCGATCGCGGCGATTTGGTGCCAGATAATAGACCGTTCCCGGAAAAAGGATAATGGTTTCCAAAACCTCAGTCCTGTCGTGACTGTTTTTATACCCGAAATACGTAACGATAATTCCGGCCAACTTGCGCTTACACAAAATCCTTCCCGAACTGCTAGCGATGACTATTTTACCTCGGTGGTATGTACCCCACTATGCTGTAATTAATCCCAGAAGATCTGACAAGCTACAGGTTCCCCTTGGATGCACATCAACACTCCGAGTTTTATCTTTGAAAAAGCAAGTGTACCAAAGCCCCGATTTTGCTGGCGAACGGATAAGCGCCTTTTGCAGTTGCGTAAGTATCATGTAGCCTTGACAGGCGATGTATAAGAGGTGTTTAAGCAAGTTTTGATGCCAAAGGGAGACCGGGGTGCGTTATGCTTCTCCTGGTGGCCTGACCACCATATGATTGCGGAACCAGTTGAATACCAAATGGTTGCCTACACATTCTGAGCGACCTCGTCACGGTTTTGCGCTACCTACGCTATTCGCAAGACAGTGATGGGTATCGGTCATTTGTACGTTTGTCCAGCAACCATGAGCAAACGCTAGGTGAATGACTGTTTGATGTCAGTACACAGCGTATATGGGGAAAAAACAATTCGCTGAACATACTTGCCATCTACTTGCTAAGTGCATTTTCCGGCTACGAATATGGGTATCTAGTATACTAGATTCGCTAGAATCCACTCCATCATCTGGACTTATCCAAAATTCTAAGGAGCCTGGCGATGGAGCAGTATTAAACGAGCGTATGCTGCGGTTAAATGGAGTGTCGAATCTGGCCAGTTTTTGTTTCAACTCATATTCCGGAGTTTACGGCTAATGCGACTTTGTATTTTGTCTTCCGTGTCCCCCTGTCTGACGCACTTGGGCTAATGTCTCTGGTGTTTACAGAGGACTAGTACGAGGTGTTGCATGGTATAGGTAGAAATTCGTCACAGCTACATGCAATCAGACAGCCGTCACAAGCCCGGAAAAGCATTGTACGCGCGTATCATCCTTTCCGAAATGGTCAGCAGTGCACA